TTTTTTTTTTTTTTTTTTTTTTTTTTTTTTTTTTTTTTTTTTTTTTTTTTTGAATTGAAACCTTATAATTATCAGATAAACGAGTCCCACACTTTAGATTCAAAGAATCAAGCCAACAAAAACAACCCCAAAACTGAAGGTTATCCAATTGGGAATTTTTCTGGGCTCGAAAATTTAAAAATCACCTCCAATACATCACTTAATGTCATAGAAGGTAGATAAAAAATCCTCAAACCATATATGGTGTGATGTCCCACATTGGTTGGGGAGGAGAACAAACCACCATTTATAAGGGTGAGGAAACCTTCCCCTAGCTATTGCGTTTTAAAGCCTTGAGGGGAAGCCTAAAAGGGAAAGCTCAAAGAGGACAATATCTGCTAGCGGTGGATTTGGGTCGTTACAAATGGTATTAGAGCCAGACACCGGACGATGTGCCAGCCTTCTCGCTGTTCCCCGAGGGGGTAGACATGAGGCGGTGTGCCAGTAAGGACGCTGGGCCCCAAAGGGGGTGGATTTGGGGCGGTCCCACATTGGTTGGGGAGGAGAACAAACCACTATTTATAAGGGTGTGGAAACCTTCCCCTAGTAGACGTGTTTTAAAGCCTTGAGGGGAAGCTCGAAAGGGAAAGCCCAAAGAGGACAATATCTGCTAGCGGTGGATTTGGGTCGTTACATATGACTTCTTTTTCAATAAACATTAGGCCCAAAATTGATAGGAAATCAACAAATTTGACAAGATGGAAGGAAATTTGAATGTTTGTAAAACCTCGTTTGAAAAATTTTAGAATCTTCAATTTGGTTTCCAGAACAACAATTAATTCTACATTTGATGAACCTCCAGATTCTACATGTTTGCAAAAGAACCAAACTCCATATCTCTAAAGGTTAATGGGAAAAATCACCTTGAAGTGGTAAAAATGAACACTGTAAGGCAGCTTAACACTTCCTCATTGTACTAGACGAAGAAATTTCATACATTTGAAGGAAATAAATCTCACTTAGTTTTGTAAACTTGCAATGGTTTAAAGGGTGAAGGAAGACCTGAAGTTTCTGGAGAGGTATTCGGCAATGGTTCTGAACCTTCCTTGGACTTAGAAACTTGCTGGTCTGTTGATTGGAAAAGAAAATCAATGACATCATCCTATGTATTGTAATGAGGTCGAGTATCCTATATTCACTACTCAAACTGACATTTAACTCATCATCTGAATCATTTTAAGGAACTGAAAGAGAAGACAAAGGATCATCCTATGACATTAAAATACCGTGAGGGAATTTAGAACCACCTAGACCATTGCTAAATTCTAATGATACTGTTTGGGTATGTTCCTTGAACAATATTCATCAATTAAATTTTTATTATAAGAGTAAAATACAGGGTCAATAGAAGGTAAAAGTATTGAGGATTTTTCCTTGTATAAAGTTTTGAATAGGCTGCAATGAAGCAGATGTTGTTGACAATACTTAACATCTGAAGTAATTTATATGTTTTCTCAATCAAAGTTAAAGTTACTAGATAATATTCATTCTCAAATTTGATATGAAGATTGGAATACTTTCTTACTCTAGCTAATATTTTATAGAGGATTTAATTTACGTGCTTTATTTATTTATATGGATTTGCTCGGTCATAATAGATCAGAGTTGTTCAAATTGTAGTCTGTTGTTAACCTCTATTTGCCGTCAGTTCTTTCTATTAGACCAAGGAGAAAGTGGCCAAAAGCAATCTGAGAATGCCTTTATCCTCGAATATCTTTTTAAGAAGACTAGGAAATTACAGATTTGCAGCAGTTGTTAAGATGTTTTATCTTTGGTACATATTAGAGTTCTTGATGACTCTAGGAGCTGGTCTTTTTTTGCATCGGGAGTTTTCTCAGTCAAATCTTTATCTCATCATTTGGCCTCCTCATCTCCTTTGAATTAGGAGGTTAATTCAGCACTTTGGATTTCCAGAAGTCCTAAACGAATTAACATTCTTAGATAGATTATGATCAATAAAAGCTTCAATTGTTCAGAAGTTCATCAACCGAAGCTTGTTCACATTACATAGCTAATGTGCTATAGCTTGGGGATGCTTTATCCCCCATAAAATGAAATTCTTATAGAAAGACATTCGTGTCATGTAAGAAGATTAGGAGAACAAGTGTTCCTTGTTTTTAAATCCCTAGAAAATTAAAGATTAGTTTGTTAAAAAACTCTATTGGCCTGAAATTATAGAAGAGATTCAGAATTACCTTCTATGAGATTAATTGGGTCAGTTAACAAGAATGCAGTTTATGTTAAAAATTGGGCTTTTAACTAAAAAAAAAAAAAAACAATTTTTTAAAAAATGCTTTACTAATTTCATTTTATTTAATTTTTCTTAATCAATTAGCAAGTTCCTTTCATATTTATGCTCAGAAGATTAAAACTCACATTTTCTACAGGGATAGAGTGGAGTCTCGATGGTGATGCATCAAATGCCACCGTTTTAGTTGCTAGTGAAGCGCATGCAATAACCCTGGCTGTTGAGGGCCTGCTAGGTGTTGTCTTTACTGTGGCTACTTTAACTGATGAGGCAGTTGACCTCGGGGAGGTATCTTGGCTTTCATTTTCCTTTCTAATGTACTTTATGATCATGTCTCTTATTAAGATGCAATGTGAAGTGGACTCATCCTTTATTGTATTCTTTTGATATTATAGATTGAATCTCCCAGGTCTGATAATGATCCACCAGGAAAGTGCAACGGAAGATTAGCAAGTGTCTGCATTTCAATGGTTAATTCTTTGTGGCTGACAATACTTGATGCATTGTCCCTTGTTCTTACAAGGTATGTTATTTTTTCTTCTGTAAAGTATGTTCATAATTGGCGCAGAACATTGAAATGAGCTTCTGTTGAAAGATCCCAGGGGGAGGCTATTGTCTTGGAGATCTTGAAAGGATATCAAGCTTTCACACAGGTGATTGAATATGATTACTGCTATCTTATTGTGGTGCTTTTCATGAGAGTTGTGAGAAAAGTGTAGTTGGTGACATTTGTTTTAATGAAGAAACTTAAATGATCAAATGAAGTTTTAAAATAGACTGGAGAGTCTTGTAATAAATGATTAAAAGATCTTTGTTTGGTTATTTTTCCTTTGTCGGAGGGAATCTAGTTACATGATGAAGTTAAAAAACGTTAAATTGGCGAAGACATATGGATTAAAAAAATACATGAAGAATTGAAGTTCCTTAAAGTAAGCCTATATAGATTTTTTGTGACAATAAAGTTGCCATATTGATAGCTCATAATTCAGTTTTATATGTTGGAACAAAACATATTGAAGTTGGCAAACATTTTATTAAAGAAAAGATGGATCCATGTGCAGCATGTATTCCTTATCTTCTGATGACAAAGCAAATTGCTGATGTACTAATTAAAGGACTTCTCGAGAAGCAATTTGACTAACTAATTGATAAGCTGGCTATGAAAGAAATCTTAAACCAACTTGAGGGGAGCATTAGTTGTCAATATTTAGAATCATTTTTTGAACCAGAGACGATTTTTTTATTTATTGATATAGTGAAAAAGAGGCCAATGCTAACATATACAAACTCCAAAAAGGAGTGAAAGTAAGTACAAATACAACAAAGACCATGATGAGGAAAAAAATACAACAAAAAGCCAAACTAAAGAACAAAATACCAAACCAGAAAGCATTTAAAGAATCTATGAAGGATATAGAAAGCGTACTCGTGAAGATTGTTGTTGCGAGACCAAATATGTGAGAATTAGAATACTTCTATTCCATTCACTAAAGAGATATATGTCTAGAAGTGTGCAAAGGTTAGTAAAAAGACAATAAAGCACAATATGTCTAAGATATTTACAATAATACAACTTACTAGTTTAAGCATTATAACATCCCCTCAAGTTGGAGCATCTATGCTAATCATGTTCAACTTGTTAGAGAGAATCTAAATGCTCCCTTTAATGCTTTCATAAAAAATCTTCTAATTGCTCTCTAATCTTTACCTATCCTATGGATACAAACTTTAATGGATTTTCTCATGCACAAAATTACAGTTGACCTCAATATGTTGTGTCCGCTCATGAAATGTTGGGTTGGATGTGATATGATGAGTTGCTTGATTATTACACCAGAATTTTGTTGGTATTGTGATATCAAATCCCAATTTAGTAAGAAGTTGATATATTCATACTAATTTACACACATAGTGTGTCAGTGTTCTATATTCTAATTAGCATGACACCACATTTTGTTTCTTACTCTTCCAAGAAACCAAATTATTTCAGACAAATGAACAATATCCTGAAATTGATCTTCAATCTTCCTTAGATCCTGCCCAATTAGTGTCGTAGAAACATTCTATATTGGTTGGACCATAATCCTTATTTAATAAACCATGCTCGAGAGCAGCCTTCAAATAACACAATCTGTTCCAATGCAGCCCAATTATCAATTATAGGGGAGCACATATACTGGCTCACAATATTCATTGAATATGCTATGTCTGGTCCAATTATCGCAAGATAATTAAGTTTTCCCACTAATCTCCTAGAGCTTTCAGGTTCTTTCAGCAATTCCCCCTCTTTTGTGAGTCGTAAATTGGCCACTATTGGGGTAGTACCTGATTTGGCACCTAACTTCTCTGTTTCAGCCAACAAGTCGAATACACATTCTACCTACGATAACATGATTCCTTTCTTGCTTCTTATTACATCAATTCTTAGGAAGTATTTTAACCTTCCCAAGTTTTTTGTATGGATTTGACGATGGAGAAAGACCTTGAGTGACTGGATACCCAAAGTGTCATCAAATGGAGAAAGACCTTTTGGTGTTTGGAGTCTTTACTCCTTTTTCTTTCATTCATCAATGAAGTTGTTTCTCCTTTTAAAAAAAAATATAACAGGATAGGATTTCAAGTTTATGCACCATAAACATGTGCTAGCTCTCTAACTAAATAATTTGAAGTAGGCAAAAACGAATCTTACAACCAACCTACTTGATGAAAATGATAAAAAGTTCTCAAATTACAAAATAATGGCCTAGAAACATACCTGGATCATGTAGAATTCTTTTGGTGAAAACTTCTGAGCTTTAGCTTTTTTTTTTTTTTTTTTTTTTTTTTTTTCAAACAAGAAAATCAAAAAGGAAGAAAAATGAGCAGAGACACAATCTTCATAAGGGGGAAAAAAATTACTGGGAAGTTCAAAAGTGAAATTATGGAAGAACTAACTCTCCAAATTAAAGAGCCAGATATATTGTGCACATTTTCCTGAAAAGTAGAATTTTCTGTTTAGAGATAAATATGCTATATGCACTCTGCTGTATCATGATTAAGTGTGATGATTCACAGGCATGCGGACTTCTCCATGTTGTTGAACCATTGAACTCATTTCTTGCCTCCCTTTGCAAATTTACGATTAATTTTCCAAGTGGAGCAGAAAAGAAGAGGTATTTAGTTCTATATAAACGAATTTAACAATTTCAATTTTTTTTTCTCAATTCTCCCTATCTCCTCAACACGAGAACTAGCATGTATGTATAATTTTAATTTGGAAGCACCTTTGTTCCTAATATGAACAGTAACTTGGTTGAGATCAAGGTTGAAGTTAATAGGAAGACGTGTCCCTATTAATTTTTTCTAATATTTTCTTTATATCTAGCATATATTTGATAACAATAAATAATAGTAATTTTAATAAAAAATCAAGGTCAAAGTTAAGATTGGGGTTCAAATAGAATGTGGGATGCACGACTATAATTTTAAGGAATTGAGATGGGTTAGGGGAGAGGGGAATGTGGAGTCCATAATAAAATTAAGGAAGAATGAAAATATTACCATAGGGGTTAGTTGCTGCACATGACCTTGATTTTTCAATTTGAGCCAACCTTAAATTTATTTTCTTAACAATTAAACCTTGCTGATACGACTTGTGGAGCATGTGCATATTGTAACATCTTGGATTTCCTATAAAATTATTGTTATGATACCAAAAATGCTTTGTTATCAAATGATATTAAAACCCTGTTGAATTGAAATTAGGAACTTTTTGGATATGTGAACTCCTAATTCAAAAACAGTAAAACTCCCAAATCTATTCGATTTCAACCTGAAAGTTTAGGTTAGAAATGAATTGCCTAAGAGTCGAACGCTCTACAAGATAGGATGATCAATTGTACTTGAATGTTCTTTGTATGCGATGGTAAACACTATTGATTTGAGCGAACTAGAATTCCTCTATTTGATTCACTAAGGAGATATATATACAAGTGTACAAGGTTAATCTAAGTAGGAGAAGGTAGAAAGACAATAAAAGACAACACAACTAATATATTTACAAAATTATAATTAGACTAATATAAGAGCTCTAACACTCTCCTCAAGTTGGAGCATTTATATTTATCATGCCCAACTTGATAGAGGTAATCTATCCATGTTTCATTTATTGCCTTTTAGAAAATATTTCCTAATTGCTTTCCAGCCTTATTAAAGAACCTTATTGTTTCCTTTCATGTACAAAATGAAAGTCGGTTTAGTTCGCTCATGAAGTACCATATTAGTCACCACAATTTGGTCGATGTGATATCAAATCTCAATTCAATAAGAAGTTGACATATCCAGACTAATTCACATGCACAATATCCAGACTAATTCACATATATAATATCCACATTTTGTTTTCTACTCTTCCAAGAAACCATATTACCTCATAACTACTATTAAATGCTGAAAGTTTTTCTGGTATTTTTGCATAGTTTGACATTTGAAGGTTTCTCATTGACTTGTGGAGCTTATTTTGTCATCAATTTGTACTTTGAAGCTAAGGTTATTTATTATGTGTGTTTCTGTATATGGATACCAATTCACTGATGCACACCCTCGAGAATCCATGCTCTTTGATTTTAATGACCAAACTGTTCTCACTTGAAAGTGTTATCATGCTTAAACCCAATGTTTTTGCAGCATCCCCCAGTCTCCTAATTTAAAACGATTGGAGCCTTTCACTGATCAAAGGGATACTGTTGTCCTTACCCCCAAGAATGTGCAGGTATATATCCAGTTTCTACATTCATTTTCTCTCATAAAATATTTTTTGAATATTCATTTTTTATCTTAATTAAATTATGCCTTCCATACTGAATCTCAAGGTGTAATATGATAGTTATAATTTAGTTGATTCTCATAGTTTTTCAATTCAGGCCTTGAGGACTCTTTTCAATATTGCCCACCGATTGCACAATGTGCTGGGTCCATCTTGGGTGTTGGTACGTTAACTTATTTCTCACTTGTAATTAGAGAAAGATTATGATAAGAAGTGTTGATTTTAGGTCTTGGATACTCTTGCGGCTCTAGACCGTGCAATTCATTCACCACATGCCATGACACAGGTATTTTTAATCTATGGTTGAGCTTCCTTTTCTTTTTCTTCTTATGGAATGAGTCAGAGACTAGAATGATCATACTTTGATACGATCTATTCAATAGGAAAAGGAAAAATATTAAATTTATCCCAACCTTTTAGACCAAATGTGGGTGGAAATTTGGACCTTCGATCTCAAGGAAAGGAGTAGATACCTTGAACCTATCTAATGGGCTACCCAAACCTGTTATTAGCTTTTTTTTTTTTGTATCTAGTAGTATAAGGAATTTTGAGTTTGTACCACTTTAATACTTTTCCTTATTATTAATGTAGTGTAATGTTTAGTAGTTTTTGGTTTTTATTTGACCAAATAGGTTACCTATATTTACTGTTTTTAATCATTTAAAATTTTCAATTTAGGGTTAACTTGGCTTGTTCTTAAACTATTAGTTTGTCAGTTTTAACAACTGAGTCATTAGTTATTAGACAATTGTATCAATGAACCATGGTCATCCTTGGGATGTTATAAGAACTCACTTGATCCACTAATCATTTGTACCAACATATATGCAAAACCACGTACTTCATCAATAATTCTCAAGTGGAAAGCCCGTACAAATTTTTGAAATGTCTGTACGATTTAAAAAAAAAAACAAAAAAGAATGTCCGAGTATACTTCTCTCTTAAACCTTCAGTGAATACTCTTTTGAACAAAACTAGGTGGCTTTGTCTCCATGTGGTAATTCTGTGCTTATCTTGACCTGCTGTTCTTTCATTCAATGATGTACCACTTTTCGCAGTTTCTATTGATCTATTTGTTACTTTTGCATATTTGTTGCCTTTATGCGAACAGGAGGTATCTACCACCGTCCCAAAGCTTACAAGGGAATCATCTGGCCAGTACAGTGACTTTCACATTCTTTCTTCTTTAAATTCTCAGGTAAGTTTTTAATAAACTATTTTAAATACAGTGCTGCTTTCGTCCAGTTTCGTGAATCAGGAAGAAACAATGAAGCCATACCAATTCTTGAAAAAGAAAGTAACTTCCCAGAGAATTGGTTCGAAAGTAGCCCGCCAAATACAGATTTTATTGTGCACTTCCCCTAATTACCTTTTTTTTCCCCTTCTTTTTGAAGCTATTTGAGAGCTCAGCACTGATGCACGTATCTGCAGTGAATTCCCTTCTTTCAGCATTATGTCAGCTTTCTCATCAATATCTGACTAGTGGTTCCAGTGGTTTTGGCCTAGCTACAAGTCAGAAAATTGGGAGCATCAATTTTTCTGTGGAAAGGATTATATGTATCCTTGTCAATAATCTTCACAGTATGTCAAATCAATGGATTTTCTGTTTGTTAATTATGTTTTTGTGAACATATCTGTCCATTATCAGTTTTATGTATAATGCAAGTTTGAACTGTCTCAGATATGTTAGTTTGTGCACCAAACTCATGGTAAAGCATGCTTAAAATAGGAGCTATGCCATATAATCCCATGTTATTATGTGAATTTTCATAGTATCTGTATATGATGCATCCATCTTTTGGATCATTGTTCAAGTATTGAAGTTTCTTTTATATTTATTACTCATTTTGGTTACTTGAACCATGCACAAACAGGCATTAAAGAAAAATCTGACTGTTTCATTTATGGTTGTACTATATCTGATCTCTCTGAGTCATTCTCTTGTTAATATCTGAAGTTAAATGATATGCTGCTCTTAGAATCTTTTATCTCTGGAAGTTGTATTCTTGATGGAAGTTTGGGAGGACCTTTAGGCCAGTTTTTCAAAGGTCAAAAGTAAGTATAGAAGAAATTTAATGGTCTAGAGTGTTCGGTTGAATTGATTATTTATTAATTTATATAAAATCACTTTCCAATTTAATCTTAGGTGTAAAATCACGTGGACAGTTGCTTTTGCAATCAGCTTTCTAGAAATCTATCACCTCCTCTAACAAAATTTGAAAAATTCCATTTGTGTCCTTATGTATCTTCCTTATATTCTTTGTATTTAAACTAGAAAAAATTGTGTTTGATTCAATTGTTTTTATAATTATTGTTTTTCCCTGTTCTTCCAATTATTAGAATGAGCAGAATAATTTGTAACTTACATCATATAAGATTTCAAATAATTTTCTTATAAAAGATTTGACATATTCAGTACCAATGTAAAAATAGCTGAAATGATATCTCTACTTTAGTAATTGTTACTAATCACATTAATTTACTGTTAATTTATTAGATACTATTGCCTACTACTTCAAGTTTAAAAATGAAATTTACCAAACATTTAATATATTTCATATTATTGCTAGTTTTGTTAAAAGCACAATTGCAATAGTTATTTTAACAGCCACGATAATCCCAAACTACATCAGAAGAGTGAGAAGTGCATAGTTTCTTAAATTTTTGAGTATTTGGATACCTAGTCAAAAGTGATTAAAAAAACACTTAAAACATACGTTTAAGTGCTTTTAGAGGGAGTTCTTAAATAATGCATTTTCCTATATTATTGTGTGAAATATGATTCACTTAAAAATACTTCTCCCGAAATTCATCACAAACTCTTATAATGTTCTACTGTCCACACAGTGAATCAATTATATGTTTTATGATAGGAGTTGAACCACTATGGGATCAAGTTGTTGGCAATTTTGTTGAGGTAACGACATTTCAATTTCTTTGATTTCCATTTTGCATTAATTAAAAAGTTTTACACCTTCCAAGAATGGATTTGCAGCTTGCCAATAACTCCAATCAGCATGTACGCAATATAGCACTTGATGCATTGGACCAATCCATCTGCTCAGTTTTAGGTTCAGAGCCCTTTCTAGATTTCACCTCACCTAATCATCATACCACTTTGAAGGTTGTTAGGATTCTCATCGTGGTTCTTTTCTGTGTTTTATATAAAGTGTGAGAGAAAAACTAACTATGATTTGGGTGCACGTGGGCATCTGTTTTAGATTGAAAACAGGCTTGAAAAGCTGAGGTCACTGGAATGTTCTGTTATATCTCCTCTACAGTCTCTGTATTCGTCTTCTCAAAGCATTGATGTTTGCTCAGGATCATTAAAGATTCTTCTGCATGTTTTAGAGGTAACTTATGCTACTAACAATAGATAAATTCCATCTTTTATGTGTCCATCTCTGCCCAAGTTCATAATATTTGCTTTGAAAAACTCAGAGACATGGAGAGAAATTACACTACAGTTGGCCAAATATTCTTGAGCTGTTAAGGTTTGGGTATCACCTATTATTATAATTTCAATTACCTAAACATCGTGCTGTTAAGTTTTTCTCTAACTACTTGTATTTTAAAGGTCTGTTGCAGATGCTTCTGAGAAAGACCTTGTTGCTCTTGGCTTCCAGGTTAGGAAATGATTCAATATTTTATAACTATTAAGAACACGTCCTCTATACTTTCCAGAAAATTGAATCCTTGCTTCATGTTTCTTAACAAAAAATTGAATTCTTAGTTTTCTCATCAATTCTTGCTTCATATTTTTTAACCAAAAAAAAAAAAAAAATTGAATTCTTAACCAAATTCCAAAAACAAGGTTTTGAGAACTATGTTTTTTTTTGTTTAGTTTTCAAAATTTTGTCTTGATTTTAAAAAACATACGAAAAAAAGTAGATTACAAAAACCAGAAACAAAATACCAAATGGTTATTAAACGGGGTCTTAGCTTCCAAAAAGTCATTTTTTTCCTTTAGTAGCCTCTCATTCCATAACTTGCCTGGAATTTACGGCTTGAAAGAAATCTCTAGAAGTTTGGAGGTTTTTTTTTCTGATTTTGTTCATTTTTGAAGCCTCTGACCATCTATTGATATTTGTATACATCTTTAGAAATTTCTCCCTCATCAATCTGGATTGAAAGGGTTTTTGTTAATCTTAACTTTCGTTTGGAAGGGTCTTGTCATCCTCCTTTCTGTTATCCATGTTCGTATATATTACAATCCCCTGTTTAAGAATAATGTTTGTCCACTCGAAACTCTTATCTATACTCATTCTTAAGTTGTAAATAGATGTGTGTTCTCAGCATTTTTGTTATATATCCCTGATCTTTTAGATAAATTTATAACTGGGACAAAGTAATCAATTAAGTAAAATATAATCAGTACTTTGTAACTTACAAATGATAGTGAGCTACTGAATTGGTTTTGTTCACTGTCCTCTATTTGATTATTACCTTTTTTACAAAATAATGTATTTAATGTGTCAATCTGGTCTTATAGTTCGTATACATGGTTGACTTTTTACACCTTTACTCCTTTGAAGAAGAACTATAACTTAGTTTTTAAACATGTTACTCCCTGCACTAGGTTGTTCTTTGTTGCTCCACATATTTAGATTGCTGTAGTTTCTTTAATTTTACTTTAGGCAACTATATTTTTCTCGGTTGATGCATTACTATCACATAGTCCGTCTGCTGTTATTGTTTTTATAGCAAATCCATATCCATGTCCATCTGTTGCATTGGAAGGTCTAATGAACTTTCGATTTCATGACTCCACCCGTGGATGGTGATACATGCCTATATGCTGTTATATCTGCAGTTTTCTTCCAATTACTTAAGTTTGTTTCCAGATAGTTGCTTGCTTAATTTTCTTTATAACAGCTAAATACTAGTAATTCTGTCTACATAAAAATAATCTAATTTTTGTTTTCCTTTTAGAGTCTACGTGTGATCTTGAACGATGGACTTTCCAGCTTACCACAAGAATGCCTTCACGTGTAAGAGCTTCTATTTGGAATTTTTATTCGCTTAGAATTTTTTCTTATTTCACTCTGCTCCCTCTACAATGAACTATAATTTGTATGCTTCCCTCTTCACACGTCTTCACCCAATTATTGCTTTCCTAATTATTATGTTCTATCAAAGAACGGAGCTTTATGTTTTAAATTTTGATATGTATTTATTCTCTTGCTTATGATGATCCACTGCCTACAGGAATTATTTTCTTGTATCAACATATTTTATTGGCCTTCTATTTTTTCCCTGAGTGTAGAACAATTAGCATTCTTATTCCATCAGAAGTAAAATGAATCTGAAATTTACTTGGCTAAATTGGAATAACTTGCTGCGTTTGGCCACAAGGACCAATTTATTGAATGCAGGAGGCTATCATAACACTAATTAATCGATTCATCCACCTTTAGGTTCTAGCTGATCTGAATAAACATAAAAACAAAAGCTGAAACTTTAGCTAGTAGCGTCACTATTATACCTTTTGATGTAGAAATTCTTACTTCGATATCAATTTGCATGTTGCAGATGTGTAGACGTGACAGGAGCATACAGTGCTCAAAAAACGGAGTTAAATATAAGCTTAACAGCAATAGGGCTTTTGTGGACTATAACTGATTTTATTGCTAAGCGGCTTTCACATGATCTTGTGGGTGAGAAGGAAGCAAGTAACCTCCCTGGTAAGTGTGTATACTGTTATACCTCTGTCATTAGCTGTTTTTTTGTTCACCCTTTGCTGTTACTAAAATGGCTTCAATTGCAGACGTGCCTGCTGTCTCTAAACAAGTGAACGTTGAGCGGACTGAGGAGGAAATGATTGAGGCTTCCATTCACACTGATGCTTCTCCATTCACAAACATGGTTGATTGCAACAAGTTGTTGTTTTCAGTTTTCTCACTGCTTCATAAGCTTGGAGCTGATGATAGGCCAGAGGTAGAATAATAGCCCCTACCTTCATTTTGTCCACCTTGATGCGTTATATGTAGAATTAACTGTGATTCCTATGAACTATAAGCTAGTAATATCAGCACATTCGTATGCCTTCAGGTCCGAAATTCAGCTATCAGGACACTCTTTCAGAGTCTTGGAAGTCATGGTCAAAAGCTTTCAGAAAGCATTTGGGAGACTTGTCTTTGGGATTACGTTTTCCCCATTTTAGACCATGCTTCCCACATGGTAACTGTGATATGATAACATAACTATACTTTGACCTTTGGCTGATCTTTCTGCTGACGGCCTTTGAACTCTTTGTTTTGAAGGCTGCAACCTCATCCAAAGATGAATGGCAAGGGAAAGAACTGGGAACTCATGGTGGAAAGGCGGTCCATATGCTTATACATCACTCGTCTGTATTAATCTTGATCCTTGCCTAAATATAATCACTTTTGTTCTTTTATATTACTTTCCTGACTCCTAAAATAGATAAAATTATTGTATATTATTTTCTCATACTACATGCATTTGCAGTCGTAATACTGCTCAGAAACAGTGGGATGAAACGCTTGTTCTGGTGCTTTCTGGAATAGCACGTATATTACGTTCTTTTTTCCCATTCCTCAGAAGCTTAAGAAATTTTTGGTCTGGTAGGTCAATCATCAATCTTTTAGCATCATAGCATAAACTTTATTATTAACTTCTGTGTATATCTGTAATATTCTATATTGTTTAATTCATCTTTAACAGCTTTACATTGGTTGTTCATAATAATGTCGCATGCTTCTATTACTACAGAATGGGAATCTTTGCTTCTTTTTGTGAAGAATAGCATTCTAAATGGTAGTAAAGAAGTAGCTCTTGCAGCAATAAATTGTCTACAGACTACAGTTATTTCTCATTCTCCCAAGGTAAACATCGAGTAAACCAAAGAAATTTTTGTTTCATATGCATGTTTCCATTGGCATATTCTGATAATATAATTCATATCGACTTGCTATATAAATGATAATAAATGGCCTGAATCATCTTTGCTCTTTAACTTGTGGAACAGGGAAACTTGCCAATGACTTACCTTGTTTCAGTACTTAATGTGTATGAGCTTGTACTTCAAAAGTCACCACACTACAGTGGTAATGCTGCTAGCAAAGTGAAGCAGGAAATTTTGCATGGTCTTGGTAATGATTTACTTTTAATGAATGTATATAAATATATTTTACATATATGTCTCTTCATTGACTTATATGCCTGAAACAATCCCTAAACATTTGTGAATCTAATCAAATATGAAGGCTGAAACCATCCAGTTATTTGTGAGATTCACAATAGAACCAGAGAGATAATATAAAAGATTTTTAATATTAACTTGATGCTACTGTGATCTTATAATATGTAGCTTTTCATGCTTATTATTAACGCTCTCCGTCTGTTAAATTGTTTACAGGAGAGCTGTATGTGCAAGCACAAATGATGTTTGACAACCAGATGTACACACAATTGCTATCAGTTGTTGATTTGGCCATTAAACAAGCAATAATAACTAACGAGAACTTTGAAACTGAATTTGTAAGTTCATTTTTACCCTCTTTTTTCCTTGCTCAATTTAAAGGAAAAAAAAACTTTTGGATAATTTTATTTTTGGTTTTACAGTTCGTTCATATGTTCCATCATTTTCAATTGAAAAATTTTATGATATTGCTTAGAAAGATCATGTTTGTCAGTTTTAGACGGGAGAATTAAGATTATGTAGTGATGAGATATAATGTTTTGGAGCTAGAGGTTAGCATGGATGAATAACAATATCAAAGTTAATTGTTGTAGAAATCAAATTAACGAAATTACATAGTCATTGTCCAACCAAAGTAGACCTCGGGCACTGAACTTTAGCTTCAAAATCATGTCGCCAGATTTTATTAGCTCAAACATCTTAATGTGATTGACTTTTTCCAAACTCTAAACAAGCACTCTTACATTTTTTTTATTGACATTTGACTTAACATATGGTGTGGATTCTGATTGAGCATAAAATGACGTATTGTATGAATCAAGTTTTCACCGTGGTGAAAAAAATGGTCGAGGCATTTAGGTATAGACAGAATTAATAAGTGAAACAAAATTAAAGAACTATGATGACTACTTAACATTTCAAAAATGCTACATTAATTATTGAATATATAAATTTCCAAGCCTTAAAAGGGGTGGGATCGGAGAATATAAAGATGAGTGAATGTCTAAATTAAAGAGTTTCAGACTAGTACATAAATTTCTTGTTGATTTAGATGAAAAATTTGCACTCCATCCCTTCAAATAGAAGAGACACATGTAGCCATCTGGATTTTTTTTCTGTAGTACTTGTGAAAAGATTCTATAGGAAGTAAAGAACTCGATGGCGGTTTGTTGATTTCCTTATTAACTTGCTGAGACATTCTCTCTTTCTCCAGGGACATGTCCCCCCTGAGCTACGAACTATTCTGGAAATATTACCACTTTTACGTCCTACTGATGCCATCTCTTCAATGTGGCTGATTTTGCTGCGTGAATTTTTGCAATATCTTCCAAGATCAGGTTCTTCAATACATGAAAATGATGGAGATCAAACAAGCACTAGTTATCTTGTTCCAGGTAGTGAAATTTGTTAGGTGAAATTCCTAGTTTTTTCCTTGATCTCTTATACTTGGTATTTGTACATTGTATTTCTGCATATCAAGGGAGGTCAAAGAACGAAAGGCATTCCAGAGCTGCTTCTGCATCCTCGAATGATGAAGCTTCTCAGTCTGTGTCTCCAGTATCAGCAGTTACACCAGTTGGTATTCAGAATGTCCTGTTTGCAGAAAAGCTTGTTCCTGCGTTGGTTGAGCTTTTCCTTCATGCACCAATGGTTGAAAAATGTATTATTTGTCCTGAAATTATCCAGGGTCTTGGAAGGTACAGACTTTGACACTCTTTTACTCAATTTCTTGAAATGGTGGACTGGTAGTGTGTCGGTAAGAGCATGTCCTTTGAGCATTTTTTGCTTCTTACATTCATCGATAAAAAGTTCATATCTTGATTTTAAAGAAAGGCTACGTTTTAAAAAAAAATACCCTCAAACTTTCCCATTCGATTAAAAAATACCTCATTCTTTCAAGAGTTCTTATATTATCGTTAATTTTCATAAATATTTCAAAACTACCCTTAAAGTAAAAATCTATTAGAATGTTGGACAGAAAGTTGACATGATATAATATTGTTTTTTTAGACTTAATCTAGACAAGCATGCCAATCACCACCCCACCATTTTAGACTTTCAAGTCACCACCACATTGAATAAGTATAACATGCAAACTAGTTTCTAATCTAAGGTAGTTTTGAAATTTTTATGGAAGGTCAAAGGTAATATTGCAACTTTTGAAATATTAGGAGTCTTTTTTTAAACAAAAGAAAAGGTTCAAGGATATTTTTTATAATTTAGCCAAAAGAAAAACATGTTTAGACATGTCTACAAAATACTTATTTCTAATTTCTTCCAAAAGTACCTGATATGTCTTTTGTGTTTAGTTATGTTGAAAACATGCCCAACAAGTGTTGGTGTATGATATGTATCAAACATGGACATATCAGACAAACTAAAGTTTTCTTTATAGGTTAGAATTTTTATTTACTTTCCGTTGTGTAGCTAATAATGACTTTGTTACTTGTTTCTTCCATATTGTTGAGAGAACTTGACACTGTAGGAAAAGATATGGTAATTGCACTAGAGAACTCACTATTATAGGAAATATTGTTCGTAAGAAAGAAGACTTATATATGGTGAGTTAACTAGGGTTCTATTCCCTTCTATGGATGCCTATTACGCAAAAAAAAATAATAATAAATAAATAAAGAAGAATTATTGGTAGAGGACAAAATTTGTGATTTTCTGAGCTCCATTCTTTTCAAGGGTTTTTATTTCTTCCAGCCTTGCAACTTTCTTAAGAGGTTCATGGATGTCATTGGGAATTAGTATGTTAGTTATGCTAGAAGTGAAAGCTGTAAACCCTCATCTGAGATATAATTAGAGATTAATAATTAGTTGCTGCAGGAGGAAGTAACTTTCGTGTTATTATTCTCTTTGGTGTAAATTTTATGCTTCTTTTAACTCTTATTGTTTATACCTTCTTCGTGCTGGTTGAAAGACCTTTTCTAATTTTCTTCGCTTGGATTTTTTGTATTCCCTTCTCCCTCTTTTGTAATTTCAACCCATCACTAAAATCATTATTTATCATTAAAAAAAAAAAAAAAAAGAACTGTATCTGATTGCTATGCTTGCTGTTTTGAGTTTGTGATCTGCTCTACTTGAGTTTGTATCATTGTTAGACTCTTGACCCTTCATATAGAGGAGGCAGATTAAATCATTAGTCCTAGCAACCTATTATTTACAAGGTTCACTCACTAAATACTTGTGGCGGTTAAGGTTCCCTCTAGAACCTTTTTCAATTTCTCTTGTTATTTCAATCAGCTGCGGGGTGAATGGAGTTAGATCTTGCCCGGACCCTCACAAGAATAGGGAATTGATAGCATACTTGACATATTGCTGATCTGTTAGTTTCTAGATTAATGTGTTAGCAAAATATTATGGTGCTCTGGCTTTACATTGTTCATGTGAGTTCTGTGAGAGTTTAGATGTTAGGTCGTTCCAAAATGGCTATTGGTTATTTTTCTTTTTATTTTAGTTCGTAAAAAATTTCTGTACAAGGATAAGTAACTGAATACTTTGTCTTTTAGGTGTATGACAACAAGAAGAGAAAACCCCGATGGCGCACTTTGGGGATTGGCTGTCGAAGGTTTTAATCAGATACTTCTTGATGACGTACAAAATTTAACTAGGAATGTTCTACCAGATCCAGGTACTAGCAAACCAGCAAGAACTCGTATATGGAAGGAAGTTGCGGATGTTTATGAATTTTTCCTTGTGGGATATTGTGGGCGAGCTCTATCCAGTTCAGTGGCATCTGGATCACTGGAAACTAATGAGGATCTTGAGATGACTCTCTTAAACGTTCTGGGTGACAAGATCCTTAAATCACCACTTGATGCACCTCATGATGTAATTTTCTCAAGCTGCCTTCGTCCTGCAATCTCATCAGTTTGCTTTTCAAGAAAATTGATATTATTCTGGCTATAGTTGATTGATAAATCGCTTGATTCCAACAAAAAAAAGACATTCAAATGATTTGGAGTTATTTCCTTGCTTTTCTGTTTACCATAAATTTTACTGCTAATGTCTACACACAAGTTATTGTGGTCCACTTTGCATGCTTGCCAGTTTCGATGTGTGATCTTCGTCGATATATGCTTAATCGATCTCTGTGCCCACATATATCCTTTCTAGATTTAGGCTTTTTCCATCTGCATATTGGTTTCTGCACACTTTTTGTAATATCTCATTTTAGATCACTAATTGATTGCTCATCAATTTCTTCCAGATTTTTTAAAATATATGGTTTTGTTTGTTTATTTAATTATTGTGCATGGTGTTTTGATAATGTAGAATAGGGTGCTTCATTTTTCATAGTTTGTTAATAAAGAGTTTCTCATCAGATATGAAAACTTTCAGGTCATTTGTTCTTTCAGTCACTGAATTTACAATATCATTTTGTAAAGCAACCTTGGAGATGCTCATTTTTATATAATTCACTAATTTTCTATTTCCTTTCAACATCATAATTCATAGGTTCTCCAAAGACTTGTTTCCACATTGGATCGATGTGCAGCACGAACCTGCTCATTGCCCGTTGAGACCGTAGAGCTAATGCCCATCCACTGTAGCAGATTTTCCTTGATCTGTTTGCAGAAGTTGTTTTCTTTGAGCAGGTATTATTTGAAAATGACCTCAAGAGTGTAATTTTAGTTCTTTAACTTTAATGTGAAGATGGAATATCAACTACCTGGTCTTTTTGCAATTATAAGATGAAAAGTCGCATGATCTAACTATCTTGTCTGGGAAACTGCCCCAAGCAAAATAACATGGTCGGATCCGCAAGGCTGATGTCTGCTTGTAAAAGCACGTGCTTTCCAAAGCAAGTTTAGATAACCTGTCTTAGACTTTATCCTTCCAGATGATCTGCAACCATTGAGAAAACAATTTATGTATTTTTTTAAATGATAAATCATTCCACAAGCATAGTGACCCACTCATATGTTTTAGGAGGAGAATTAAGCATTCTAATCCCTCGAACCATATATTTTCATGTTATCAGCTATGACAATGAAGATGATAAATGGAGCTCAACAAGATGTGAAGTCAGCAAAATTTCGATCTTGTTACTCATGACGAGATGCCAATGCATCTTGAGCAGGTTCCTGATCGACGAGAATGACTTAGGTAGGTGTGCAGTTTTGTTTGCTTTTGTTTGGAGTAACTAAAAATGATTAGCTATTTTGTTCTTGGTTGGTGTTGAGCTATTCCTCACTATTCCCTTTGAATTTTACAATTACAAGCAGGTGTGCGTCCGTTGCCTACAGCAAGGCTTGACGAAATCATATATGTTCTTCAAGAACTAGCCCGGCTCAAGATCCATTATGACACTGCCTCTGTTCTTCCCTTGCCTTCACATTTGAAGATTGACTTGAACGAGGAGAGTCATGAAAGACGTCCTCACCTACTCATTTTATTTCCTTCCTTCTGTGAACTTGTCATCTCGAGGTAAAAAATAGCTGAGTCTTAAAAAGCAAAATTCATGCATCACAAGGCAGTTTATATATAGCTTAAAATAAAGAGTTCGCTGGCGTATGAAAAGAGAAAGAAACCCTTCGACACGATACACTATAGTTGGGATAAATATAGAATGTAATGGTGGATGGTGTTGTAATAATGTAAGAGAAGAAAAATTGTTTGAATTAATCGACTGCATCATAGTTCGAATTTAGGGCGAACATTGAAAAATAAGTTTTTAGTTACAGCAAATCATTCTAAGTCGAGTTACTGTGTTCGGATTGTTTTTCTGTTTTTTATTTTTATCTCCTTGCATGGACAGTTTAACTTGTTTTTATCAACTATTGAAGAACATGTGCAGTGGATAATCCAGCTGATGTTAATGGTATAATTCTTGTGTTTTATCTTATTTTCTGTCTTTTTGTGAACAGAGAACCAAGGGTGAGGATATTGGTCCAACGACTGCTTAGACTCATCACCACGGAGTTGACTCTCGATAAGGTTAGCTTAGCCAACTGAGTCATCAAAGACTAATTTTGTTCATGTTCTTCATACCGTTCTTATCGAGCAGCACGAGTTTTCGTGCAGAGAGACATTGTTAATGTTCTCCATGTAATTCTTGTTTTGTGCCTAAGTTATTGTAAAGACTTAACTGTTCATGTTCTTCGCACCATTCTTGTATTTCTGTTTCGGATAATCTTAGTTTTTATTTATAGAAAGAATTATTCGAGAATTGAATGTATTTTTTTGTATACGTTTAAAACTCTTTGTTTTAGCTTTTGTTGCTAAATATTTGTATTTTCTTAACTGCAAATTTGCAGAGCATTCAATGAGCAAATTGATACTGTATTCAAATTTAAAGAAAATAATACTAATTATATGTGTAGCCCTAGCATCGTATATATATATATATATATATCTTTACGTGTTTTGTTACATAAGAAGAGTATTTTGTTTAGTAATTTACTTATTCCTAATGGTATTTGTGTGGGTCCATATTATAAAAGGGAAGAATTACATGTAGTTGATAATGGTTTGTTTTATTTTATTTTTGTTCAAATATTGTGTTTGAACCAAATTCTAAAATCAAAACCAACTTGGGTTATTTTTATTAAAAAAAAAATAATAATAAATAAATAAAAAATAACAAAACAAACATCTCCATTGCAATATACTTGGAATGTTCAAAATATTTCAAATTAAATCAATAAATTGGTTGTTCGAAAATTCAAGCCAAAACTATACGAGGTGCTTGAGATTTGAGAAAGAAGACCCACATCGGATAAGTGAGCGGCAAGGGAGCCTCCAATTTGCTATAAATAGTTGTGATGGCGTGTTCGTGAACATACTTACCTGAACGGGGTCAATGGTCGATCATGGAGGTTCGTGCCCTAGATCGGTGACCTCCATTGCACGTTAAGGAGGGGTGCCCGTCTAAGGTTTGCCCAAAACTGTAGAACCTATGTTATAATTTGTGGTAGCGGGACCTGCATAAACGCAGCCCTTTCAAACTCCTAGTTTCAATCATGGTTAATTTTGTGCTTCTTTGGGGTTCATTGAATCTTTACTAGATACGTTTCTTGAGTAATTAATCTTTTATGGCTATAATCGCATTCCAGGTTGATGCTTAGTTCAGAGAAGCAAAGGACATGGAAAGCATTAAAACATGAAAGATATTTGATTTTAATAGCTCTTCAGAAAAGTTAAAAATTCAAGCTTACACGAACATCTGTAAGATTATTTTTTTGAAAGAATTTAGTGTGATGTTCTTCTAAATTACAAATTTGAGTTGTAGTGTGATGTTTGATGGAGAACTCGTGAAGGCTAACAAACTTCTTTGAAATTCCCTATTTTTCTTAGTCGAATGGATATGATATGTTTAATATGACAAAAAAATATAATCGATGGTATTGCTTACAAAAACACTTCCAAACATAGCTCCCTCCGTTGCTATTTTTTTTACTATGGATTTGTTTAGACTCAAAAAAATAATTTACTTTCATAGTTGATTTGAAGTATATTTGATTGATAAATATTTTGTTCCAAATTATGATAAAATATCAATGGAAGTGGGAAGGAGGTGAGAGATAAAGAAAAGATAATTTAGTCCCACATCGGGCAAGCACGCAGCAGGGACCTTACAATGTCATATAAATACAAACGATGGCATCAGTTGAACTCACTTACCTGGACGGGGTCAATGGGTGATCAAAAAGACTCATGGCCTAGGTTGGTGACCGCCATTGCACATTAAGGTGGGGTGCCCGCCTAAGGTCTGCCCAAAGTGGCAGAGCCTACGTCATAATTTGTGGTAGCGGGGGCCTGCGTTCGCGCGGCCCCCTCCTAAGTTTCCAGTTCCCAAACTTTCGGCTTTTCCAGGTAATCTTCTAATCACATTCACTCGTAAATTAATGTCGTATATGCCCCCCAGATCTTTGTTGATTTTATTGTATTAATTATTAACTCGTGATGCTGTAATGACAAACACCGAAGAACAATGTAAGCAAAAATTGGCTTCAAGTTTTCGTCTCTTTTTGTTCGTCTTTAACTTGTGGCTTAATTAGAAGTAGAGATTTAATCGAGGGGGGTCTCAGGGTGTCGATTCATATTTTCTTTCAAGTATCCAGAAAGGGAGGGAGGGAGGGAGGGAGGGAGAACTGAAGGGACTGTTTCTAAAATGTTTCATGTTCATAATCTTTTTGAGATGAGAAATTTTTTCTAATTGATAGTGATGAATGTGGGGTTTCAACTAAAGAGAATGAAAATCGCCTTGGAATATGAGGGGCCCAATATGTCGCTTTGGGGGAAACAACGAGAACTGGGCAGTAGACGGATAAGAACATTCGTTAAATATAAGTTGGAAGTGAATTAACTTTGGGATGTTTGATTTATTGTATCTATAGATAACCCTTTCTGGTTAAAGATGGAAAAAAGGACGTTTTTGTTAATTACTGCTTCTTCATTTTTCAGGTATCTGATTCTTGGTTGAGACTCCTGATAATATTCTTCTCATTGAAATCGACTGAAGCTGAAAAATTACTGGCATGATTTCAATGTTTTCGTTTGGTGTATTTGCATACTACAAGGAAATTAATTTCATTATATCTTTTGAATATATTCTCCATATCTAAATTGAGTGTATTTAGATTTAACTCATCCATATGCTGTACATATGTTCATCTTAATCTGAATGAAAACTTATCCAAGCATGATGTTTTTCATATTTACTATAAAACTTGAAGATAGTCCCTTTTTTGAGCTACATTGAGTTTTTTGAGGCTTGGGGACTAATTCATCAAATTTCAAACAAACTAGATTTGCTTCTTGCTCATGAATTTTGGCTCCATTTTGGTGTGAACATTCAGATCACTTACCTGTGCTAGATTTGCTCGATGACTGTTCTCTGTTTGACAAAAAGAAGTTTCCCTTTCTTTTCAGTCAGTTCAACTATGGTATGGTAGAAATTAGACCTTTAGCTGCAAGAGTCGGAACTTTGATTGTGGTGTTAGAGAGGATTAGCCAAGCGTTAGCTTTCTTAATCTTTATCCCCTTTGAACTTTTGAAATTCTTCCCTCTAACTTGATTGACGTTTTGTTAGGACTCACGGGAGAAAGAGTAAGAAATGGATGGTAGAGAGAAGAAAAGGCACATCTTTTGTGAGATCCCACGAACACGATGGAAACCTCTCTAGAGTTTTTGAAAACCGTAACGCTGACAGTGATACATAACGAGTCAAAGCGGATAATATCTGCTGCTATCAATAAGCTTGGATTGTTACATTTTCATTTTCATTTGCTCCGTTTCCGTTTTCGTTTTCATTTTCATTTGCTCCATATCCTCATTAGCCAAAGAGACAGCTCCTTCAAAGCACAACTTGCTGCATTTGACGCCGCAGTGGGTCTGGTCTATAAGCTTAATAAAATTGAGTGACATTACTGTCAGATGCCTTCTCCTGTGGGCATCAAATTTCATTCCTGTTCGGTCGGAACCTATTTTCTTTAAAGCTATATATAGCAAATGAAGTGGAAAGCGTGAAGATTTGATATTTTAGTAGGCATCGCAACCTTTATATTCCGAAATTTTGTAGGATCTTTACTCCTATAAAGATTGCAACAGAAAACTAGTTCATCAAGATTTGCAGAACTTGTTGCACGCAGTATGATATGATTGTTAGGGGGATAAGATCCTAAGAACATCAAAATTAGAACAGATAGTAGAATTGAAAGAACTAAATCAGAGAACAAAGGTCCATATCCGATGAGACAAACACATAACATATTCTTCATCGTTTGAACATGTTGAGGATGCCAGAAGGATTACAGCCTTGAATAAGACAATCACATGGACATTAGCATCCTTGATAGACACCAAAATTGGAACTCTTCAATCATTGGTTAACAGATAACAGGGAGCGATGTCACCGACTCCCATTTACTTATTGGAAAGGGATCTTAAATCAAATCTCTTGCCCTCCCTTGCTTAAATAGACTCGGTACTACACCAGTCCATATCTAGTTCATATACAATTTTTTTTTTTTTTTTGTTTCTCGAGCCTATAGCGATCGGTCGTTTATAATTTGGGTTGTGAAAGCTTTTCTAATGCCTTATACAATATTCATATCTCGGCCTTACACAATATCCACCACATCTCTTTGTTTCTCAATAGCTCAAGCCTGTAGCTATCTACAAGCCCTTCAAGTCTTTTGTCGTCAAAAGGATTCGGGCACAACACCATAGCCAAGCCAGAGCCAGTTTCCTTTGAAGTGGGCGTCATTTAAGCATGAAATTCATCAAACATAGTATAGATCGTAATGGTCGGAGGGTTAAATGCAGTGCTGTTTTTATAATCACCGATGACCAACAGCTCGTAGGCATCGGATGATTACGATATGAATGTTTTGGTGTGAGGATTCAACGTAACGCCACAAGCAGTCTGATGTGAAATATTTAAGGGATTTTAGTATTGGGGAGGGGGCTGCGCGTTGACGCAAGCCCCCAAAACCACAAATTATGACGTAGGCTCTGCCGCAAGGGCAGACCTTAGACGAGTACCCTTCCGACGTGCAATGGAAGTCACAAATCTAGGCCATGGCCCTTCCTGATCGGCCATCGACCCCGTCCAGGTATGTACCGTTCCCCGTCAGACCTCACTTCCTTTTTATACGCCCCTTCGCCTTCCCGATTTTGCGATTCTCCGATGTGGGATTTTAAATAACTCGCCCAACCACTTCTCGCCAAGCTTTATTCCTTTTTTCTTTTTTCTTTTTTTTTTCATTTTAATTATTCGGGGCTTTTCCTTTTTTGGATAAATGTTCATTTATCTCTTCTTATTTATTTATCATCTTTTTATTTCTTTTTATCTCATTTATTTCACCAATTTGATTTAATAATCTTTTTTCGTATAATTTTCAAATTCCTCCCCATAGAGTAAACCTTCTACAAATTTCTTTTTTAAAATTACAAATTTGGTTTCTTAGCTTTAAAAAATTGTTTAATATCATAATTTTTAAAATCAAAATTTTAATTTTAAGTTTAATAGGTTGGTCGTGAATTCAAGAAAAATGTCTGCGACTAAGGACTCTATGATCTATGTTAAAGGTACTGAAACTTTGAGATACACAATCTTAATAAAATTAGAGATAAATTGTGATTTTTGATGTATAGTCTATATCTTAATTTTATGTATTTAAAACTAAAAGATTAAATAAGTTATTAAAATAAATAAATAAATATTTTAAACAACCTTTTTTAAATATATATATATATCTTATCAATTTTATTTACGACATCATACCATTTAAATTTGTCGAAATACAAAATTATTTAGAATTGAAATAAATATAAATTATATATATATATATTTACATTTCTAACTAATAAAAAATGAATTAATCAACAAAATTGTATGCTAATATAGTTTTTAGTTAAAATAAAGATAGCCAATAATAAATTTATTTTATTTTATAGTAATATTTTTTTGTTTTAACAATTTACCTCGGAGTAATGTCACATTTGTAACTGTGCTAAAAGAACACTCAACATGTATGTCATGTAGATGAGTGATGTCATATCTGTGGTCAATCACTATTGTCAACCAAACACTCAACATGTATGACTCTCAAACCATATTAGTCTATACCAATGGTTGACGGGACGAAATACTTTTCCTGGGTACTAGAGTTCGATTTCCTTTAAAGGCAAAAAAATTTAAGATATGACATGAGTATAATTGAAAACATCATAAATAGCCTTTCGAACAAGTGGGCAGAAGCAAATTTATAGTATAAAATCTACCTTGAAATCGTCTTTCAATATTGACTGAAATTAGTCGATGAGGTTTCTTTCATCTCGACGAGTGTGTTGTGGGGGAGGGAGTACCTATCCCAATATGTGGTTTTGCAAAGTTCCACCATTTCTCGAGGCCCATGCCCACTAAAAGAATAGAACAGATGAGTAGTCCAAGTAGAACCTCACACAAAATATAAACCTCCATTTAGGCTACCCACAAAGAACTAGAGCTTACGTTTAAAAGCCACAAAAGCTTCATAAAAACCGTAGAATTCCACGAGTATGAACGTATGATGCCCAAACCTCCTCACAACATATAAGATAAATCTCTTTGCTCCTCCTTCTAGATAGAAGGACCCTCCTAGATTAACACAAAAATGATATCAATCTCTCGAACAACACGCATGGGAAGTACAAAAAATTGTCTCAAAATATTAAAAAGTACAAAGAGTCTTCAAACCAACACATGAAAGAGCTCAAACAAACCAACTACCATTATAAGCGATAATATGTTCCAACAATGGCTTATAATGTTGTGCCTATAATATTTAGAGATGTCCATTTTACCCACCTCAGATAGGGAGGGGATTTCTAATTAAACGAGAAATATGGGGAAGAGAGTGGAAAACATTGTTTCCCATTAGATAAATAGGGTTGAGACACAATCATATTTCTCCGTCCTCATCCTCGCCTACTTAATATAAATATATTTATATTTATATAATTTTGAGATAAACTTAAAAGGTACGTTAGTATATATTTTTTAATAGTTAAAGAATATGTTGTATATTAAAATTTGAATTTTTTTTTGAAAGAAATATATTGATTTATTTTGGTTCTTTCTTTTTTTATAAAAATTATATTAAAAAATAACTATTTTTTAAAAATAATAATATACAAAATTATCTTTAGGAATGTGATTTCTCCACGTTTGTTCCTCGCAAAAATAAAGGAAAAGAGTAATAAAATAAGTGGCACGTATGGGATGGGGAAGGTTTTCCGTCTCCCCGCCCCGCTGCATGGACATCTCTAATAATACCATAAAAATATTGAATCAAGATTCGTAGAAGGAACATCTATTTTAATCGGGAGTAATTAATAAAAACTATATTAAATTAAATAATTAGTTTGCTAAATACAAGTTTATAATACTTTATAATCAAATCACACCCATTAAAAAGTTGGTGTAGTTTTCATGAGCAGAAAAATGAACACTAATTAATAGCAATCAAATAAAATAAATAAATTAAATGATAAACTATACGTGTATTTTATTATTATTATTTTTAAATTTAACATCTAAGTATTGAGTCAACGTTAAATTGACTTTATTGTGGACTAAAAGGAGCATGGTTGTCACGTGTATAATAAAATGCATTAGATGATTAAACAAATTAAAAAATGTTGGTACCAAAACATCCAAAACATGAAGAAACCTACCAATGTCATTTCAAATCAACCCATAAATCCAAGAATTATGAGAATAAATTAAACCCAACAACTAAAAAGATTAAAAAATATATATATAATACAAACAATCAAATCTCCTTGGTTCAAAGGAGTTTAGTTTCATCAGCTAGTAAAGAAATCTAAGACCTTTTTTGTGTTACAAAATGTATCATATCATAGGTCCGCTCGTCCTGGATATCTGGGGAAAGGGATAACGTCTCGGATGTTGTCAATGCCTGTGGCAAAAAGAAGCATTCGCTCGAAGCCGAGACCGAAACCGCTGTGCTTGACTGTTCCGTATCGTCTCAGATCAAGATACCATTCATATGGTTCAAGTGGAAGACCCACCTCCTTAATCCTGCAGGAGATGATAATTCAGACTTCATAGTTCACAAAAGAAACAAGATCAACAAGAGAACTATGAATTGTTCTTCTACCTGTCGCGAATAACCTCGAATCGCTCCTCTCTTTGACTTCCACCAATCAATTCCCCAACCTTCCAATCCAAGGCAAAAGTTTTGATTTTCAACAAACAAAAGGATTAAAAGGGTGAAACTAATCACAGTTATAGAAGTAAAAACGAAACGAAGTGAACTACCTTAGGTACAAGAACATCCATTGCAGCTACAGTTTTCGAGTCGTCATTGAGCCTCATATAAAATGCTTTGATTCCTTTTGGATAGTTATAGACAATGACAGGCTTTTTAAATACTACCTCAGTCAAGTATCTGAGCAAGAGAAAAACAATGAGAACTATCGACATTGTTTGAGTGGAACGTAAATGAAAAGCATGGGAGGTTTACAGACCTTTCATGTTCAGAAGCTAAATCAATTCCCCATTCCACTTTGTTCTCAAACTCCTTACCCTTCTTTATGGCTTCCTCAAGTATTTCAATAGCTTCCGTATATGAAGTTCGTACAAAAGGGGTCGAAGAGACCAATTTGAGACGATCGATACAAGTTCGGTCGTACTTATCAGCCATAAATTTCATGTCGTCTAGGCAGTTATCAAGTAACCATTGACACAGAAATCTCACATATGCTTCAGCGCAATTCATATCATCCTTCAACCAATTAAAGAAAATATGTCAAATATGGTAAATTCAATCAAATCTCTAGAAGAAGAGCACTGAACTGCTACTGTAGAGTTCCATTGATTGCTTATTCCTAATAGATAACCATTGTTGTTTGCCATATTGCTTAGTAGCACAGAGAGACAGCCAACTAAAACTTTGTTTTTTCACATCCATGAGTATGATAAACTCATCCTAGAACACATAAACTCAACTATAAGCTAAGTGCCAGAATTGTCTTAAGATAGTTATACGTGAGTATGCAGAAAAACATACAACTAAGAACACAATTTTGGCATAGTAACAAACCTGCAAATCTGCAAATGCAATTTCAGGCTCAACCATCCAGAACTCTGCAAGATGTCTTGAGGTGTGAGAATTTTCGGCACGGAAGGTTGGGCCAAAGGTGTATACACTACTGAGTGCACACGCATAAGTTTCGACTTGCAACTGGCCCGAAACAGTCAAAAACGCTTGCCGAGCGAAGAAATCTCTTCCATAATCAACTTTCCCATCCTTCTCTGGAATGCCTGGTTTTAGTTTTGCTCTCTCTTCCAACCTAGCAACATTCTCCTTTGCCTGCTTCAGTTCCAAAACAGAAGCACCAATTTCCTGCTTGCTTGCTTTAGAAGCCTTCAGGTTTGAAACAGCTTCTCCTTTCTCCTTGACAATTTTCCTTGCTTCATCTACCTCAGCTTCTGATGGAGGTGGGTTTTTAATCAACTCCTTTTCTAACCTTTCAGCCTCACTCAATAAAGTGGTAACTTGAAACATTTCACCCGCTCCCTCACAATCGCTTGTGGTGACAATTGGCGTGTGAATATACAGAAATCCATGCTTGTTAAAAAATGTGTGAGTGGCATATGCAAGTGCATTTCGAATTCTAGCAACCGCAGATATCTGTAATCGTCAAATAAAGAAAACACATACTCATCAATAAAAGTGATTATGTTTTATAAATTGCAACTTTCTATTGACGTTAGAGAGGATCAAACCATGTAAATGCCAAGTTATATAATTACATAAGAAATGAAATGCAGAATGAGAAAAAATCAATCGAAAAGATTCGATCCAATAACTAACTTCAAATTTAATTTGACAAACGATTTAAATTTCTTTTACCGTGTTTGTTCTAGGGCGGAGATGAACGACATCCCTAAGAAACTCAAGAGTGAGTTTCGTCTTCGGCAAAGGATACCGCGCAGGATCAACCAGACCAACATGGACGACAGCCTCAGCACGAAGCTCGATTTTCTGATGCTTATCCGGTGGAGGAAGCTTGAAAACGCCATCGACAACAACGCAGGTTCCGGTGGGGACAATCTGGCCAAGATCCGCCACAGCCGCTTCGATGATCACTTGGAGATTCTGAGGGCAAGAGCCGTCGTTCAACTCAAGAAAGGCAAAAGCATCCTTGTCCGCCTTCCTTCCGGTTTTAACCCAACCACCGACCCGAACCTTTTGGCCAGCAAGTCCAGAGCCACCGTCTGGCCGGCAGACGATTGTACGGATCGGAACGCGATCGGAGAATTCGGCTTTGAGAGACTTGTAAGTGGAAGCATCGTCGTTCAAGGTGACGGCGGATAGTTGGTCAATGGGTGGCGCGGAATGCTCTGCCATTGGTCAGTTCCCGGTGTATCTTCACTGCAGTTGAATTCAAAACCCTAAACCACATCTGATATTCAAGTTCTGTCTCTACATATTAACATTTGCCGGTCTTTTCAGTTTGGTCCGGTTCGATTCGGTTCTTCAATACATATATATATATATATATTATTTGATAATTTACAAATAAAAAACTCAATTAAACAAAATTACAATAACAAAAAAAGTGTTGATAATAATTTAATTAGGGAAAAAATATTATTACATTTTATTTATTGTTATGAATATATAGCCATAATGAATTTTATTTAAATAATTTAATATTAATATATTAATATATGTTTTTTTATTGAGTAAAAAACTTAGTACTGCAAATAAACGTAGGAGAAAAACTTATAAAATAGCTTTTGAGCAAAATATACATATATATATATATATATAATAAATAACCATAGCTAATTCATTTATATTAATATAATTAAAAGAATGAATACCTCCATTTTGGTTCATAATATTTTATTTTGATTCGAGGTTAATGATATAATATCTAAATTTCTAATAAATATATGACCAACCAAAATTTATAATAAACATATAAAAATAAATAAAATTACTCTTGTTGAATTGAAAGGGGCCGCGCGAACGCAGGCCCCCACCACCACAAATTATGACGTAGGCTCTGCCACTTTGAGCAGACCTTAGGCGGGCACCCCTCCTTTAGGTGCAATGGAGGTCACCAATCTAGGCCATGAGCCTTCGTGATCACCCATAGACCCCGTCCAGGTAAGTATGTTCTAATGAACTCCATTGTCTTATATTTATAGCAGTTCGTTCGGTCCACTACTTCAAATTTAGCGATGTGGGACTTCTCAATTTCATCTCCTTTACCATATTTGCACTTCGTTTTTTTTTGTTACAAAATATATTTAATGGTTTTTTTTTATAAGAATAAAATATATTAAAATTGCAAGGTACTTAAAAACTCCGACAAAGTAACTAGTTTATCATCGCATAAAAGTTCCGACGCTCAAAAGTTTACTAAGCGAGCATACACCATCATAGACAGTATCTAGTAGTTAAAGACGATTTTACAATGACCCATTTATGTAAAATTTGAGAAAGTGAAGTAGAACTAAATTAGATAATAAAACACATAGAACGGTACTCGAGCTCACTGTTACTCGATACTAATTCAGTTTAGACCCGAAACGAAAGGAAGAAACCACGAAACGCGTTCAACATTTATAAGCACAAAAGCATTGCTTAGGGACAGAAGGTGCAGTGTAGAGATCACAAAGTCCCTTTCCATTGTGCTCATTTTTGCACTCTTCCCAACACCTAATGTCTCCTTTGCAGTTCCACACTCTATGGCAATTCCTTGCTTGTGCTGCAACCATTATTCAAACCCACCAAATCAATTATATAATATTAACCCATCATAAAACTATAAGCTTTCGCTTCTCCAAAAGGCCTCATACGGATGAAGAGAGTATTATTTGATTATAAACTTATTATCATTCTCTAAATTAGCCGAGGGGGACTTTCACTATTGAAATTTTTAAAAGTTGAGAAATATTTTTAATACAAAATTCAAAATTTAACAGATACGATTAAACCGAAGAAATTACCATAAGAGAAGTAGGAGAATAAGAAGCAAAGGAAAAGAAGAAGTGTTGCCATTTTTGATAGGCATGGCTTTGTTTGGAGCTGAACTCTGGTATGCACTTTGGAGGTCATTTTAGAATCTCTCACTCTATGTCTCTCTTTTGCATTACCAATGCAACAAATTAGGACACTTATATAGTGTGATCCATCAAATTACTTTTCTAAACATTCTTTTTAAATCAATTTCTTTTTTTTTTTTTTCAAAAATGAAAATTCTCGAAATAAATATAATTAATAAAAAAAATATGACCGCTTTAATTTTGTCTTTTTATTAATTATGGTAAACTCATGTGATACCTTCGTAATAAGATGCATGTTTTTTAATTGGAATAACGTGTATTAGTGGATAGTTTTTACTCTTAAAAGCGGAGGAGTAAATAACATGATCTTTTCTCTAAAAATGTCAGAGCTCGAATTCGACTATTCAACTTTCACTTGCTCTAAACCTAATCCCACATTGTCACTTTAAAGATCAATTATGAATGGGAAAAATCAATGTCAAAACACTAGTAATTTTCTAATTGGATTAGGTAGAGCTTTTTTATATTTTTTGGGAAAAAAAAAATCATTTCTTTCTCTTTTTTCACAACTATGTGACGTTCCTTTCTCCATTTTTATAAGGTTTAAAAAATATATTTTCGTACTAATATCAGCATCAGATCTCATCAATTTTTTAAGAATCTCAAGAAAAAAAAAACTATAAATATTAATTTTTTTTAGTATGAGATATTAAAATTTGAAGTTCGGAATTCAATACAAAAATATGTGAAGTACTATAACACTATACGCCTAAAATTTAGATAAAAATATGGAACCTAGATGGATAGCTCCACATTAATTTTTACGAAAACACTGAACATAAGATTAGTCTAAACTAAGCACACTAAACATTAGAGTTGTTATGATGGAGGCACCGATTCTGGTTGGTATAGATAGCAACCGTTTAAGCTTTTCTTAACCCTCATATCTTTAGGATCACTCATTCATATGTGATATTGATTTATTCATGTATTTTTCATTTATTGAGTATAAAAATTATTGATAGATGTATATTTATACCGGTAAGATTTAAAAAAAGTTAACCAAATAAATATGGGTTAGAATGGCATTAAGAGTGAATCTGTATAGTGAAGATGATGTAGATATGCACCATTTAATGGGTTGAAGTCAAGAATTTATTAAAGTTAAGTGGAGATTAAACTATGTAGAAGTTGTTTGCTCTTATCCAAATCTCATAGTTTATTCATATTCCTTTGAAGAAGTCTGTAGTTGAAGCTTTTATCCAATTGCTTTAGCTATTGGGCATCCACTTCTATTTTTTTATCCATTTAAATCTCTATCAGATATTTGCATCTAATGGACACATACAATATTTGGTGATTCCATTGGTGATTCCATTAATTATGATGTGGTGAGTAGACTCATAAGTCTCAAAGAGGTATACATGAGTTGGTTGGATTGGTAACCCAACCCAACCCGTAAATTTTCACAACCCAGCTCAACCTCTAAATTATCTTGTTGTAGAAAAAAAAATAAATTAAAAGGAACTTTTATTTATTTACCATTTATAATCATTCAATATCATTCCGTATAATTTTAAATAAAAGATATTAAAAGTTAACAAACAAGAGTGTGAAAACTTCTACATAACCGATCGTTATACTAAAACCGAAAAGCTGGCGATGATAAAGGAAATGAGCCAAAGCGGGAAATGTATTTTTCAAGACTATATTTATTGGTACTCAAACATCATACATAATTAATGAATAATAGCCCCTAGCTCAATCCAACTCATTCAGGTGAAATTTCAAGACAAAATCTTGGCCTTGCTACATTTTGAAGATCCCGTGAAGGATCATGAGGATTTGGCGCATTTAAAAACCATGCCAACTGAAAGAAGGATCTCAGCATCTCATTCCCTCCCTAAATGGCTTAACCAACTAGGTAAAATAAAATAGAAAGTCCAATCTAACATAATCCTTATGAACTGCCACATATTCAGTCAAGAAACAGGGAACAGACAAACAAGTTCTCTTCCTATGCCGTTTGATCCTTCCCGCAGCACCTTCAAAAAAACAAAAACAATTGCAGTAATAAGAAATCCATGCTAAACAGAAGTATATACACATTTTTAAAATCAGACTTGCACAAGGAAAGAGGAGCCAGATGTTCATGGCGTGTTGGAAGGATAAAACTGAATGACTATGGGGCTACATTTCAAGCAGGCATTGTCGTGGTGATGGGTTCTTTGCGGCCAAGCAGAAGATCAACGGGCTTATAAAAGTGATTTGGAACCATCAGTAAGATGGGCAATACAAAAATGATCAACATTCCAGTGATCAGTTTCTGGACAGTTACATCATCATCCAAGAACCAAAGTTCTACCCTAACTTACTCAGCTAAAGTAGAACAACTCCAGGGGTATATTGCATAGTAGCCTATTACTCAAAGGATGATCATCTTCTTTCTGGTTTTGCTTTGTTTTAAGCTATGAATTGAGGATTGATGGTAAGCTCAATGAAAAGACATTTTAAGTTCTACTGTAATTCAATAATTAAGCAACGGTTCGAAGTTAAATACCGTTTATATCGCTTCTTGGAACCGCAAGGACAGAGAGCATTACGGCTGATCTGGCCACTCTTAGCCAAATTAGACCTAGCAAGATCCAAAGGATTTGAACCCACCAGTTTCTGGACCTAGTAAACAAACATGATCAGTTGAGCATTGTCACAACTTTTAAAAAATAAAAAATCAATATATTTATAAAAAATATAAAAGTATGCCGGAAAGCAGGACCAGAAAACAGGAAACTCCAAGCCCTCGTCAGTTCTCAGAGTGGTACAAAAGCAGAAGGAACCGAGTCGTATTAACAGAAAAGGATAAGAGTTTTGCAATGTATCCATACAATAACTACTTTCTTTTGCTAGATATGGCAATGTTGACAATAAACTTTAGTTCTTAAGAACATGGAACTATATGTATAAAGATTTACCTCAGCTAAGCTCTTAGGCATTGGTTTTCCTTCTTCCTTCAACTTCTCAATCTTTTTTTGTGCTTCTTTAGCCCAGATAAACTTTGCCAGTGTATTCTCAACATCGGCGATCGTGCAATTACACTTTTTTGCTGCTTCTTGCTTTTGGCTGGTTTGGATGTTCTAAAGATCAGGAAGCCTAAGATCACAATCAGAAAACTTATCCAGAAGCGCAAATTAATACGGAAACTGTTGGAAACAAATAAAGGTTAGCGTAACTCTATTCATTATTATTTTCACCAACTCAGATGATAAAAACCCAGCTAATGAATTATCATAGACAGAAAATGGAGCTAATTCACCAAATAAAAGAAGAATGTGTTATAGGCCCATGGAAACAACTCTAAATCATGCCGGACTGTCAGTTGACAGAAAATAAGATTAAGAATTCAATTGAAGAAATCAAATAGCAGTCAAAGTGCTGAAAGACTTGATCATAATGGAAAGCCCTTCCGGTTCAACCAAGTGGTCATGAATCCCAAAGCTGGTTCCGAACAATAAGGAAGTGAAGTTATGTAACGTATTTCTTAATCATCAAATGTTGTAGTACCAAAACGTGAAACAACTAAATCAATTTCAAACCCAGTGTTTTTAAAGTGAAGCATTGAAGCATTGTACCCTCACTGAAGCACATCGAGGCACACAGCATGCATCAATACCTCGTCCTTTTTGTAATCTTTTTTGAGAAAATTAAACACACTCTTAAAAACACTCTTTCCTCTCAATCATCTCTTACAAAAGCTCTATTTCTTAAAATTTCTCCATTCTTATTATACATTATACTATATTCTCTCTCTCATTTTTATTTTTCCTTTCACTACATTTTTCAGATTTAGAATCTTTTTTTTACATTTTTCTATTTTTATATTGTAAGCCAAAAAGAAAAAAAGACAAAAAAAAAAAAAAAAAAAAAAAATT